CAGATCCGCGACGAACCTCGACGACCTGCTGCTACGAAAACCAGCGGCAGGTTTAGTGCGTTCCAGCAGTGTTTTAGGACGTTTGGCGGTGACCCACATCCGTTCGAAGCTCGATTTAGACTACCCACACCTTGGCGAGCTAGATCTAGGTGACCCACACCTATACGAAGTCGGTTTTGGTGGTAATGAGTCATTTGAACCCTTTTAGAATTGATTTCGAAGGCCGAATAGTGTACGTAACTTGCTGTATTTTTCTGTTTTAGTGCTTAGGTGGGATATCGATGCAAAAATTAAGGGTGCGGTTGTGTGTAAGTAGACAAGGGGCGTGTGCGTGCGTTAATGTGTGTCAGATGGCCTCTATTGTGCTGTTTTTGTGATGTTCGATATTATTTTTGATACGCTGATGTGTTAGGTAGCTCTCAGTTGTGGTAATCTGTATACTTGGAGTGTTGTTGAATATTTGTCGATGATAATGACGTAAATTCTGCTTTGTTAAACTGCTGAGAATTGCTGTGGGAATGTTTGTTGTCTGAATATGCATGAATTGTTCGGCGTGGTTCGTGTGTTTATTATATCTAGAAATGCTTATTGAATATTGACGTTGGATATTAAGTGTTTTGGGTGAACTGTATTGGGCTCTAATTATTTAAAAATTTGTTGGTTATGCTTTGTTGTGACAAAACTCAATGTGGAGCTGTTGTTAAGAAATGTTATATTGTGAAAACATGGTTGGTTTATCATTTCGTCATTAGAATGTTGTTTATGTTGTGGAAGCATGCTGAATTGTGTTTGTGAGCTGAAAGACGCGTGGGTCATGGCTTAAGAAAGTATATAGTAAGATTCTGGTGAGAGTTGGATTCTTGGAGAAAGTGAATGGGTGAGTGTCAGGGCCTCAGGTATAAATGGTCGGGGGCTGATACGTCACTAATTGAGTATTGAGGCCTTGGGTAAAAACGGTCGAGGGTCGATGCGAGGAGTCTTTTGGAAGGAAAGCTATTGGGGCCTTGGGTAAAAATGGTCAAGGGCCGATAGATGGTGAAGTCATCGGGGCCTTGGGTAAAAATGGTCGAGGGCCGATGCGGTAGTGTCGGGGCTCTGGGTAAAAATGGTCAAGGGCCGACTCTACTCGAAGGAGTTATCTGTGAGGGACTAGGATAGCAGTGATAAGCGTAGAGGTACTTGAGATGTTAGGGAGGCTCGAGGTTGGTAGTTAATTTGTTCATAGTTGTGGTTGTCGCCGAATCTTATAGAATGTGTCTATGTTTGTTTGCACAATGTGATGCAGAGCATGACTAAGAATGTTTCATGATTTTGTTGAGCATGATGTGTGTGTGTTGCTGGTGAGGGCTACTTACGGAGTATATTTTATATACTCACCTCCCCTCTACAATTATTGTTTCCGGTGAAGGATTCGTTGGCGACCATGGTGATGAGACGGAGGAGACATGATGAGCGAGGACCATAGGCTGCGTAGTTACTTTTGCTTAGCTTAAGTTTTGGATGGTTAAGACCCTATGTATTGGTCGATAAACTATTTGTTCTTATTTGAATAATGGGGAGGTTCCCACTTATTATTTATTTTATTTCAGGATAGGTGTTTATTTTATGTTTTCTTCCATTCATTGAGTTTTGCTTAGTTGGAATAATAGATTTGCCTCGTGAGGTTGTCCACGGATGATGTTGATTGATATTCTATAGAATTGATTCATTGTTAAATTGATGAGAGGTGAAGCTTGATTTTATATATAATTATTGCACAGGGAGTTGACATCTCGAGGTTGGGGTTAAGTTTAAACAGTTAGGTAATTAACGTGACCTAGAAGTGTGTGGGAAGTTCTGGGGCGTTACAATTGGTATCAGAGCGGAGTTGTTCCTGTAGACTGTCCTAGAATCTAGGTCGATAGGGTATGGTCCTTGTTAGTCTCCTCGTCATCACCAGGTATGTTTCCTAGTTCTGTTTGTTCGATCATGAATGTCTTACATTGCTTATGGTTGAGATATCATTGTTGTCTGATATTAGATAGGTCGGCGTGTTTCCCTGGTTCATTATATAGACTTATTTGAACTTTGCAATTGTGTTGTGCCCGGTTAGTGCAATAATGACCTTGGTGCTCTGTTCTTTTAGAGCATGGCTTTTCGGCGGAACACGAGAGCTCACAACTATGAGGATCCGAATCCTAGGGGTGAGGGAGCAGCGGATCCAAATGTTCCCCCGGTAGTTCCTGGAGGGGTAGCACCCCCGGGCCCTCAGGCAGCTCCTCAGGGAGTTCCCGAGGTGAATCCCCAGGTGGCGTTGCTAGCTGAGGCATTGCAAGTACTGCTGGATAATGCGAATGGAGCCGGTGGAGCTCAAGTACAGCAGCCTCGCCGGGCACAAATTCCGGAAGAGGAGGTTCAGTTTATTAGGGATTTCAAACGCTTTGGGCCACCCGTTTTCAACGGGGTAAGTGAAAGGCCTACTGCGGCCGAGGAATGGGTCAGGGAGTTGGAAGCCCTTTATGTGTATTTGGGATGCTCCAACGATTTCAAGGTCCGGGGAGCAGTGTTTATGCTTCGGGGAGAAGCAGTAAATTGGTGAGAGTCGGTGGCGGCAGCGAAGGATCATGCCAACGTACCCGTCACGTGGGCAAGATTTAAGGACCTACTTTATGAGTACTATTTCCCCGTGACTGTCAGGAATGAAAAACGGTTAGAGTTTCTCCGTCTCACTCAGGGTAGGCTAACTGTGGCCCAATACGAGATGAAGTTCACTGAGCCGTCCCGTTTTGGAATGCAATATATTCCTACTGAGCAATTAAAGATTGACAAGTTCATTGACGGTTTGCGTAGGGAGATCAAGGGGCTACTTGTTCTCAAGGAACCAACTACATATGCAGCGGCAGTCAGATGTGCGTTGGTTATGGACAAATGTCTCGAGCAGCCTCAATCTCAGCAGGTGATAGGTTCCAGCTCGGGGGTCAAGAGGAAATTTGCATCGTTCTCCTCCAGTCAACGCTCAAGAGGACACCAGCATCATGTGCAAAGGCAGACTGCTCCTCCGGTGTGCCCCTCTTGTAAGAAGAGCCATGTTGGGCCATGTTGGTTGGGAAAAAGAATATGTTTCAAGTGCCAGAAGGAAGGACATTTCGCAAGGGAGTGTCCGATGACCGGCTCGAATACCCAAGCATTAGGCCAGAAGACCCCTGCGACGGCGGCAGCTCAAGGTGGAACCCATAGGGCGCGCGTCTTCGCTCTCACCAGGGGGGATGTTGAGCATGCCGAGGCGGTGGTCATAGGTACCTTTTCTTTGCGAGTTTTGAGTTGTGTGTTTATGCTTGTGCTTTATTGCATGCGTATTACTTTTGCAGGGACTGTTTTAGTGCTTAGTATGCCTGCTTACGCATTATTTGACTCTGGATCTAGTCATTCTTTCATTGCTTCTACCTTTGTTCGAGTCTTGCAATATATAATATCCATCCAAACCATTAAATTGTATAATACAGGTTGTATTGCAATGCCAGTTTGTGGCGTTATTGCTATAAAATCATAAGTTCATAATTAATTATCTTAAAAACTCTCAATGTTGGTATGAGAATATCTCCAGTTAGTATTTTGCCCTTTTTCCTTGTGCCACTTTCTCAARTGATTACTTATTTTGGCTTTCTAACAAAGGACTAGCGAGATTTTGTTATAAATTACATAATTCATATATCTGACTGAAGTTTTTATTATAAAATACATAAAAAAACAGTGAACAAAAAAATATATTATTAAAAAAAACATACTCTGATTTCATAGTATTACTGAGAGTATAATGGAGAATGTACTCAGTGTAATTTGAAAGCCTACTTTGGAGAATCATCTGAGAAGAATCAAGATGTTCTTGAATATTCGAATATTGATAAGTGAGTCTTAAGAAGTATTAAGTTAAGGGATAATTGTTGTAGTTCTTACTGTGTAAATTCCCTGAAATCSCTAAAATTAATAAGCAGGGACAACGTATCACAAATCGACGTCGTTTTCGTATGGGTCAAAGCTGAAGGAAGAAAACGCACCTAAAGTCGAGCTGTTCCGAAGTTGCCGCGGGTCGATTCAGTCACCAAAGGAATAGCGATGAGAGCGCGTGTGTTCGAGGTTTGTGGGTTATCGTTGGATAGCTGCGTCGTCGATAAAATCAACGGGACTCGTCGTGAAATCACACAGAAGCCACCATGGGTTGTCGACTATTTGAAGCGAGGAGGAGTCGCAGCTGCGAAGAGAAGAAAACCGGGGGGGGGGGGGGGGTGCGGCGGGTGACAAAGAGAGGGGAAGAGAGATGATGGTCTAGGTTTTGTTTTGTTTTCTTTCCTTTTTTTGTTTTGTTTTTTTTCTCTAAGACCCAAATTAAAAAGAGGCCTGTGGGTAAAACTAAAACTCTAATTTTCTTTAAAACTTACGATTTACAGAAGAAAAACCCAAGCGAAATCACCAATGCAATTATAATTAAAATTCGTAACAAACTCACGTCGATCCAGAATAAAATAAAAAACAAAATGAAATGGAAGGAAATAGTTTAGAATAAATTTGAAATAAATTAAAATTCCTTATGTTAAACCAAATCTCACTCCAAAAAGGATTTGGGAAAAATAATTAACTTTCAAAACCCAACCATAAATGCAAAAGGGAAAATTAAATTCCCTAAACGTTGGATTAAGATTTAGTAAAAAAAAAATCTCTTTAAAAAAAAATAAAACTTAATTCGTCTCAATCTAACGAGATTGGACTTTAAGTTCTGATTTACCCAAAAATAGATCTCTGAAATTTGATGATCCAGTAATTTAATTATCAGCTTAAGGGAAAATTCAAATGCACAATTTAAATCTTAAAATAAAAATAACTCGAAAACTTGGGATGTTACGTACTGATATAATATTTCTCAATATCCTCTCCCCCAACATTAGAAGCCTCATCTTTCTCAAAAGAGTTGGGAATTGTAATATCTAAAAAATATATATATTACTGACGTTATTTTAGAGTGGTCGGGAATATTAATATTTCCTGACGATTTCGAAAATAGGTGGTGTAAAGTCCAGTATTCAACTTTTTTTTAAAAGCGTCAAAAATATATCCCTTTCCTGATTATTTTAGTTAATAGTCGGCAGAGTCTCGACTATTATTCTTTAATCGGGAAAAAGATGTTTGCCCAACGTCGAGAATAAAAGCGTTTGAAAAAACTTATAAGCTTACCCCACTATATGGCCAATACAAATCGTTTAACATCAGTGTTCACTTGAATTGCGACCGAACAATCCCGAAATAATTAATATCATTAACAAAACTGCAGTTTTTCCGATAGAAATGAAACGCGCTCAAAATCATTTGTTTTTGTATGTTGTACCTTCTCAAGATGGTCTAGGTAATTGTCATGGAATACTTGAAATTTTTTATTTTCATTGACAATTATAAAATGTCATAAAAGCATGAAAATTTTCGTAAATTTTCGTTTTTTCTCGCCAAAATCGCGCCTCCACCATTTCGTGACAGTTTTCCACTGTCATTGAAATTTCGATTTTCGCGACAGTTTTTAACTGTCATAAAACTTACAAAATCCGAAAAATAGCCTTTTTTCCCGAAAAACGCGCCCCCATCATTTATGACAGTTTTTTTTTCATCCAATCTTGTTTACTGTTCACAACTGTCATAGAAGACCAACTTTTTACTAGTGTCAGATTCTCGATCGAGAGACTTAGCGAGGAAGATCAAGTGGTGTTGTCTCGTTGAGATTACACGAAGAAGAGTCTTCAAAGGTGAAATCCAACATTCTTCCCTGTTTTATATTTTTTCTGTGTTTTAAATTTCAAAAGAAACTTAAGAACGTGTTCTACTGTTTCCGCTTCGAGATTTGCATCCCCTTCAGGTTCATACCCAAAAGGTACCTACACATATTACATAGTAAGAATGCTCATTATTTTCTTCATAATGGAAAACCAACTTGTTTTAAACTTTTAGAAAATCTTAATTATGCAGGAGATTGTTGGAAAATTTTAAAATTAAACTATTTAGTTATTCTTTAATTAGTAAATTAGTTTTGGTCTTCCATCACTCCCTCATTCCAAAGGAGTGGTTTGACAAGTTTAGCCGAGTTTTAAAATTAGAAAAACTCAATTTTAGTCCCTTAAAATACTATATAAGAGGAGTTTGTGGAGAGGGGAAGAATAGACAAGCTACACATCTTCTCTACCTAAAAACCTTTCTTTTTATCTTTTATGAACGTAAAAGTTGAGTGAGATTCGTGAGAGGGCTTAGGTGCACACAAGGTCTATTAGAAGGTATTCTATCTTGGGAGTGAAGTGTCGAATAACTCAGTACAAGTAGGGGTACGTCTTCTCTAAGGACAACGTTCCTCTATGTGTTTCAACCCATACATAGGCTTTCTAAAACACTCTATTTTCTTATTAATATTATCTCTTCATTGATTTCCTGTTGTGGTTGTGTATTAAATATAATTTATGTTTTACTGTGTTTGGCTTTATTGTTTCTAACAGAATGAAGGAGAGAGACTAAGACTGAGATCGAGAATGAAGGAGAGAGTCGGAACCGTTAGAAGAGAGAAGAGGAGGGAAAGTTGGAAGAAATCATTCAAAATTTTTATTTTGGGAAGAAATAAAATAAAAGAAAGAGGGAGGGAATGTTGGGGAAAATCCATAAAAATTAGAAACTTTTCATTCTTTTCTCTATGTTTCATATGCAAATTGTTTGAGATTTTGCTTTAAATGTTTTACGAAAATAAAAGGAAGAATCTAAAAAGAGAGAAAAAGAAGGAGAGAAGTAGAAGATTGGGAAGAGAGAGGAGGGAGAGAGAGGACGAAGAATTTGAAGAGATAGAAAGAGAAGAAGATGAAGAATGAGAAGCAAGATAAGAAGATGGACATGAGTTAAATAACAAGTGGCAATGTGTAATGTCATAAAAAAGTGACATAAGCCAAATGTTAGAAAAAATATGGCTTGTTTGGTAGGGAATCTTATTTTTTTGTTCGGTAGATTTGATTTTGAAATTTGTTTTCGGATTCTTTGATCCAAATAGTGAAAATTCTAAAAACAACACTTTTATGTTTTCAGTGTTTTCAGATTTTGAATTTGAAACTTTAAAATGCATAAATATGATATGATAAGCGCCAATGTTGCTCGGGTTTATAAAGCTAGAGGTCATTCTATAATCCCAAACGTTCTCAAAAGTGACTAACTTACCGAATGATTCCAACCAAGAGTAAGGTTAGAAGATGAATCACTCTTAGATCATACTTAGTATCTATGATGGTCACTCCTAGATCCTAAGACGACTACTCCATAATTAGCTTGATCAAGACTAATCCAATGAATCGATTTAACATCAAACCTAAAACAAGATTTGAAAGAGACAACACCTAATGTGTTAAGAAACAAAAGTTCTTGATTTCAATATGAATGAATGGTCAAAACAAGGTGATTACAAGCATTTAAAAAGGCTAAGGGTCGTTCAACAAAGAAATACCAAAAGTCCTTCAAAATCCTACTTAATGCAAATTGAAGAAAATAAAGCATGCAAATTAAAACTTGATTGCACATCAATCTAGACGACTAAATACGGAGCAAAAAATGTAGAATGACTTTAAATTGTCTTGGAAATCACATGTAGGAGGCGTTTTACATTTGGATGAGGTTTGACAAGCTTTGACTTCACAAACTCCCAAGAGGTGCAATTTGCGAAAGGCACATGTTCACGAATCTGCATTTTTTTTGTCCTCCATATCATCTCTCAAAATAGACAATTTTTCCATGCCAACTTTGCTCCATTCTCTTCTTGACTTGTTGAAGTAACATTATAAATAAAATTGGGCTCAAAACTCTTTGTTAGTTCTTGTGCATTAACAAGCTTTTGAAGATGCAGTGTGAAAGCCTTTTGAATATTCTTTGCCTTTCTTCAAGTAATTGCTCTTTTTGTACATGTATTAGTCTCAAATGGATTCGCATCATCCATCTTTTTTTTTAAAAGGATTTGTCCTCAAATTATGGTCATTGTTTCCTACATCAAAACGAATCAAGTTAGTCCAATGACAAGCCTTAATAACTTGTTCCTTATGATTTTCTTCCATGGATATGTCACTTCTTTCTTCTTGAAAATTTCTATGGTCCTTTCTTGTTTGTCTTCTTGAGTTAACACAACTTTTTAACTTCCTTGAAGTGCAATCTTGAAGTCTTGATGCAATATCATCATTCATAGTCTTCTTATGCTTGGACTTTGACAAAATTTTCGTTCCTTCCAAAAGTGCCTCCAAACCCAATCACTTGGTTTGTTTACATTTTGATTGGATTTATTTTTTCTCCACTTGGTACTTTGCATTTGCATTCTCAAACATAACATTATGTGTTCTCGCCCATGGAATTCTTTATGCGACTTCTTGGACAAGTAGTTTTCCACAATGTCTTTCACCTAAGGTTTCTTTTGTCCATGATTACCTACAAAATAAGGAAGCAAGTTAGTATCTTCAAAATCAAGATCTATTTTATACTTACCTTGAAGACAATCTCAAG